CATTTAAAACATTAATGTATGTGTATATTTAAAAATATAAGGGTTACAATTCTTAATATGTAAGTTTTAGTTATTTATGTGCAAATAAGGCAAATGCAGCATAAAAATTGAAAAGGGCAAAATCCAAGCAAAGCTCAGAAAAACATGACCTGTGGTCCACAAAACCCTTGGTTCCATACTAACAAATTTATGCAACTAGAATTTTTTTGAAATATTCACATACTTTATATAAACATTCAATAAGCATATGTGAACTTTAAAAATTTGAATTAGAGATTAAAAAAAATTTCTTTTTTACACAAATGGCCTTAAAATCTTTACAAATTTATTAATTTTAATTGATCATGCAGAAATAATCTGAATAAAAATTGCTTTTCTCTATCAACAATAGTTTCAAACTGAAAAATATATTTCATGGAAAGTTAAAACAAGTTGAGTTTAAGAGGTGGAAAAATCATTATAATACTAAAACAGGGTTCATAGCCACATTTTAGTTAAAAAAATAAGCACCTATAAGAACTTTTCAAGCACATTTTAACCTTTTAACTGTCAAGTTATTTTGATGATTTGGGTGCATAAATTGTCAATTTTTTTTTATTTCAAAAATGAAATGTTTGCCTCAAGGTCAAAAAATCAAAAAAATGCCGTGCACTTTGAACTTTAACCTCTATCCTTTGAAACCTTCAATCAAATGCTGCCATCTGTTGAACTGAAGCCGAAATAAACTTCTCATATATATTCGGGTATAACAATAGGATGCACTCAAAAAAAAAAAAAAATTAGCCCAAGTAATATTCGGGCGTGACATTTTGGAATACCAGTGCTGTGCCCGAGATTATTTCGGGCATGACAGTTAAAAGGTTAAGAAAAAAAATAAAATAAAATAAAATAAGCACCTGTCTAATTACAACATACACAACTGCATAACCTTAAAAATTAGACTTGTAATTTAAAATATGAGAAATGCAGTATTTATTAAGAGAATAAGCATTACCTCAACCATGGAAAATAATTACTTTTTATTTATTTATTTATTTATTTTAATAACAGTTTGATTTACAAAAACTAGTTTACAATGAGAGAGCGGAAAAAAAAAATGCAAAAAAAAACTAAACTATATTACAAGAGATTTAATGATGAAATTTTCAGTTCAAGAATAGAGAAAATAAATAATAATAAGGCATATTTATTGTATTCGCTTGGACACCTAAATAATAAATACAATTTATTCTTTCCACTCATATTGATATTTAAATAATTTAACTTAAATCTAAATTCTGAACATTTTTCTAAATTTTCATTGTATATCAGTTTTCCATTAACAGATATTGCAAGCAAAGTAATTTAAGTAAAAAAGAGGAACATTTCTGAAATCAGAAGACAGAAAGAAATTTGCTTCTTGCATTTATCCTTTAACAGTAAAAGCTTAACTAACCCACATACTTGGAAATTGGCGAATATTCGGACAGTCGAGCGCAACTTGAAAAAGAGGAGGGGAGGGGGTAGACTGTAGCCGCTCTTTAGATTTTTCCGCTAAATAAGTGTTTTGACATTTCGATATGTGCATCAGATAAAAATAAACCAACGGAACTAAAAAATATTCGGTTATCTTCGGATTATGGTAACTTGGTGACTTTTTGGCGATCAACCCTGCTACAGCAACCTGCTAGTTTTATTTTGGACGCTATTTTCTTTTCACGAAATAAAGGCTTTTTTTTTTTTTTTTTTTTTACTCAACATTTTTTTTCCAACAATTTGCTAACCAAATTACGCTTATGCTAGAACTTTTATGGAACAAAAGTGCTTAATCATGACGAAGATTAGGTGCGAAATTGGGAGAAAGTGCGGAATTGCAAACTGCTTACCGCGTTTTTGCACATACACAGTATCATCCATGTACACATCGACCTATTTTCACTTAAAAAAACATCCCAGAATTGCACAAAAATGGCATTGTGCACACTCTTGACTTTATCCATGTACACTGCTAAAGTCCTAGCTAGTAAACCTTTCTCGCCTTACCAAAACGTCGCCAAACTACCTGTTACCATATTCCAAAGATTAGCCAAATATTCTGCTTAGCAAGCACAGTAAAACTCTTTTAAATGTTCATACACAAATCTTGGACTGAACATCAAAATGAATTATTTCTGCAAAATATCACAAACGTTATTGCGCAATACGTGCGCCGTAATTCTTCCCTATGTGATATTACGCAATTGGAATCAACAGCTGCCGTTATTGCGAGAATAAAGAACTAAATAAAAGAAAAGAGAAATAACTGGGGTGTTTTTCATTCTAATTTTCAACAGACGGCGTTAAATTTCCGGAATAGTATCATTCTTCGTTTAGGTTGGTAGACCGCAGAGCTTTTAGTCCTATTCAATCTAGATTGGAAAGTGACCAAAAAAAAAAAAAAAAAGTCCGCTGCTTGTTTTGTAGCGAACAGTAACAGTAACAGTTTCAATAGTTCAAGATTTTGCAGAGAAAGGGGAGACCTCCCAACCTTCTTACTGTATAGTGTATTGGCCAAAAAAATTAAATTATTTTGACTATTTGATTACTTTCCCTTTATTTAAGCCATTCCGAATATTATTCCTTAGAAAGCTAATCTGTGTTACAACACAACCATTTTCGGAAGTTTGCTATACTTCAACAGTTACTGCAACTATGTTATTATAAACATTCATACATATACTCATAATCTAAGCATAATGATCATAATAAACACGAATATGAACCGACCAAGCAGAATGAGAATGCAAATTTTTAAGATCTTGATAGAAATTCAAACGTGTGTAGTATTTGGGTGGGAGGAAAAGAATGCCGAATGTACCGGAATTCTCTGCTTTCGCAATTCTTTGACCAATAGAATGACGGGCATCTGTCTGTACTCTTCGTGCATAGCAAAGGTTATATTAACGTAGAGAAAGGGGGAAAAGCTATTTCCGGGCATATGATTCACCATCTGACATTCCATATTAAGAAGAAAAGTTGCTTATTTAGTTTCGGCTTTGGTACAAGGAAAAATAGCGCGTTCATTAAAAAAAAAAAAAAAAAAAAAAAAAAAAAAGCCATAAAAGCAAAAAAATAAGCACTAAAAACAAAAAAATAAGGGCTTTAAAGAAAAAGTAAGCACCTATAAGGGCCTTTATATTTTATTTTCATATATAAGGACTTATAAGGACCGCTACGAACCCTGTAAAATATATGCAGTAAAACCTCAATTAACAAGCACCCTCATAACTTGCAAAACAAAATGTAAAAAAATGATTCACTTAATGAGTCATGTTTCACAGAATGAGTAGCATGGAAACAGACATACGTGACTTAACTCGCAGGATCCTGTTGCAGATGCGGCTATCATTCCCCATTTAGAGCTCATTCAACTAGCAGCTTACTGTTACCTATGATAGTTGTACTCAGACATATTTTTGTGCACTTTTTTAGCACAAAGCATGTTTTCGTGTTTGTTCCCAAAGAAAATGCCATAAGAAGACAGGGGTAAGAGAAGGAAAATCACAGCAGAAATCAAATGTCAAATCGCTGATAAGTGAGAATGAGGCATGAGTGTGGTTGACCTAGCATGCACATATAATCAGTCTACATCAATGATTTGCACTATCCTCAAAAATAGGCAAAAGATTAAGGAGATTGATGTTACCAAGGTTTCACTAGAGTTTTTACGCAATGGCCATATATTCTCAATAATGTTCAAGACTGCCTCTCATACAGATCAATAAGAGGCAAATGTGAGGAACACTGAATTAATAAAAACATAATTTGTGAGAGGCAAAACTCATTTTTGCCGACTTCATTAAGAAGAAGCCAGGATTATCAACAGACGAAGAAGACGCATTCAAGGCAAGTCGGGAATAATTTGAAAAATTTAAGAGACAAACCAGCATCCATAACATTGTGAGGGTAAGTTCAGACATAAAGGAAGCTGACAACTTCATCGCATTATTCAAAAAATTTGGGGATTCTGAGGGTTGTCTGCACAGAAGGTTTTTAATTCAGATAAGATAAGTCGCTTCTGGAGAAAGATGCCAAAGCGAACTTATATTACAGCAGAGGAGAAGGCAATGCTGGAACAAAAGCCAATGAAAGACTATCTCACACTTTTGTTTTGCACAAATGCAAATGGATATTTGAAAGTTAAACCGCTGCTCATTTACCATTTAAACAACCCATGAGTTTTTCATAAAGTCCAGAGCAGCAGGCATTTTTTATATTACAACTACTACTGGAGATGTAAAGGCTTGATCGACACGCTTTACAGATTGGATCAAGGAAGTGTTTAGTCCACCCATGAAAAGATATCTGTTTGAGATGAATTTGTGATTCCATGCCTTCCTTGTAATGAACAGCATTCCTGCATATCCTGAAGGACTAGCAGGTCATCTCTTTGATGAATTTAAATTCATTCAGTTCCTGCCTTCCAACAAAACAATTCCTGTACGGCAGCAAATGGACCAGGAACATGTTGCACATTTAAAAAAAACTCTAGACAAAAGTGCTCTTCAAGAGTTGTTTTGAGGTAACCAATCTCTCAAACAGTTTTGAAAAGGCCACATTCAAGTCACTGCTTGGCCCAAGATGATCGACAAGGTATGGGAGAAAGGCACCAACAAAACCCTTATTTCTGCATGGAAGAAGCTTTGACTGGACAGTGCTGTCAAATGAAACTCTGAAGAGTTTGAGTAAGTACTTCTGGAGCCTATAATGGACAAGATTGTGTCTTTGGCCAAGATTATGGGATTAGAGGTGGATATATCGATGAGTTGGTGGAAGAACGTAGCTTACCACCAAAGAGCTAAATTCTGTGACACTGCTAGAAGTTGGATCACATTATTCTATTTTACATTAATTCCGATAAAAGATATTGTTTTGCTTAAGATTCAACAAGCAAGATTCGGCAACAAATTATGCTTATTAAGTGAGGTTCCTCTGCTTATTATTATATACTACTAAAATAATATGTAGCATATAATACTCACTGTTTCTTCACTTTCAACATTATTTACAGATTCAGCTTGCTCAGTACCCACAGCCTATGATATAAATATGTAAATTATTATGATATAATAAGTGTACATAAAATATGTGAACTTTTGAGTGAAAGCATATACTTATATATATAAGGTTTATACAAATAGACATAAAATATCCAAAAATTTATTAATCCAAAAAAAAAAAAAAAAAAAGAAAAAAGAAAAGAAAAGAAAAGAAAGAAAGAAACAGAAATTACATGAGTAAAAAATGCCCATCTCAATTAAATAAATGACCTATAAAATTATATCTCAAGGAAAACTAAAGAAACAAGCTAAAACAAGTTCGTTATAGGAAGTAAAAGTCAAACTGCTAAAATAATAGGTAATATATATAATACTCACTGTTTCTTCAGTTACAGCACTGTTAACACATTCAGACTGCTCAGTACAAACAGCCTACAACATAAATATGTAAATCATTACATAATAAATAATACACCTGGAATTTTATTAAGGATATACTGGCATATTTTAAAACTAAAACAATATAAAAATACTAACCATTTCTTCAGTTTCAACATTTCTCAAAGAGTTGGCATTCTGTCAGATGAAAATGCAAATTATTTTAACAAATGATGACAAAATTACATAACAAAACCCATGGAGGGGAAACACAATTTTTTGATATACATAAACATTTAGGTTACTTAAATAATAAAAATAACTATCAAATAAAAGGAAAAAAGAAAAGAAAAATACCATTTTTTCAGCTTCATTTCTCTCAGGTTCTGGCACATCACCACAAAGAAACTTCTGCTTCAAAGGAGATACTGAACACGGCTCTTGAATTGCAGTGTCAAGTCTGTTTTCAGCATCTTTATCTTGATCATCAATAAGCATAGATTCATTATCAGCAGGATTTGAAGTTATGAAAGCTATTGCTTGAGCTAACTCATTCTCATCCTCAGATGAACGTTCTGTAGGTGCTTCATGTGCCTGTGCCTGTGCAAGTACTTCATGTGCATTCTCACTAACACTTGGTACTTGCATTTTCTCAGGGTCAATAACATGCTGATTAACTTGCTCTGCACAAACATTTTTTGAAACTGATTGGTATTCTTTTCTGTTGTATGTTTTTGAATTAAAATTTTGAAATGAAAAATCCGGTTCTTTGTAAACAAATACATCTGCTGTTTCTGAAGTCTTAGTAGATTTAGCTAATTTTCCTTTCTGAGCGTTGTTAAGGATTTTATATTTCTTGGGAGATTTGTTATTAGTAGGAGAGTCAGATTTCCTTGACTGTACTTTGTCAGATATTTTACTTTTGCTGGAAGAGATGCTATTCGTGCGAGAAACGCACCTTTTTTTACATTCTTGCATATCCGACTTTTCAGAATTTTTATCAGAGTCAAGAATACTTTTATCACATAATATTTCAGACTTTGTTAAATTTTTTTCTGATGCACACTTTTGTTTCACAACACTCTGAGCTTTAGAGGCTGGTTTTACTTTTAATGAAGGTCTACTCCTTCTTATTTTCCCATCGATTTTAAAGGATTCTTTTTCATTCTTCTTCTTCTCATTACTTGATGAATGGCTATTGAAAATATCATTTGTATAACTGGAAATTTTTGAAATATTCCATTTTGGTGGCATCTTAACTCCAGCAGGCATATTTGGGTTTTGTTCCATTTTCTTGTGAAAGATTGATTTTGTGGCAAGATTTCTTGCAGCAGACGTACACTTTACAGGTGAACTATGCAGAGATTTTATATTCACAAAAGAATCTTCTATTAAATGTTGTGATTCCTGATTTTCAGGTTTAAGTGGCAATTTTTCAGGTGTTGGTTCAGGACTAGAAAGCATTTTAACAGGCCTTTTACGTTTTCTTCTTTGTGGAGGAGTTAACAAAGTGTCAGCATCTGTTTTATTGGGAGACATGAAAGTATCTGATAAACTACTAAGAGTGGAACTTGTATTCAGAGAACCAACAAGTTTCTGCTTTCCATTAAAGCTTTCAGAATTCAAAACATTTTCAATTTCTTTTGCTTGACTATCATTAGCATTCACAGAAGATAATAACTCAAGCTGTCGTTTAGCCAGGAAAGAGTCCAAAGTGCATGACGAGCTTGATATAGATCCAGGACTAATAGGCACAGAAGTACTACGTTCTGGAATAGCATTTCTATAGAATTCTGTCATGGCTTTAGGTTTTCCCGATAGAGGTTTCTGAAAAGAAAATTTTTGTTTCGGAGGAGTAAAGTTTTTGTATTTGAAATCTGCATTTTCACTTAACGCATGAATGTTTACAGCATCAGAAGTGCTTATGCCTGCATTTGAGCAAGTATCTTTTCTCAAACTTAAATTCGAGGATGAATCGATACAAACAGTATGCTCTTCTGGCATGAAAGGTGAACCTGGAAAGCAACTGCGATGACTAGGTGAACCAATTTGAACAGGTTTTATTCTCTTTTTAAGTGGAGGTATTATGTTCGTTTGAGGTGGAGAAATGCTACTGCTTTGAGCTGAAGCAATAGTTTCTAAATTCACATTTCTAGGTGATTTTATATGACCTACTTTTGAAGTCTGAACTTGAGAATTCATAATTTCTGAATTTTGATCAATAATTTTGTCATGCTGTGGACTTGAGTTCAAGTTATCTGATAAATTTGAAATTTCGGAAGATTTTGGTATCTCAGTAAGACCATGGGAATTTTGATTACTTGACACAGATGCAGAAATTTCATTCAAGTCACCTGAATTTTCTGATACAGACTGACTGTAATATGAAGTACTAAGATCAGCTGCTTTTGAGATTTTGGGATTAGGTGGTACTTGGTTAGACAGAACTTTTGTTGCAGCATCATCGCCTTTTGGATTCAAATATTCACTATTCACAGGTTCATTACCATTCAATTCTGTGTTAAGCGTTTTAGACTCCTGTGATTTTTTATCTGTTAATGTTTGTGATAAACTTTCCTTTCTCTCATTTTGATGATTTTCAGAAACGATTTCCATACTGGATTTCTCTGGGCAATCCACAGATTTATTATGATCTAAAACAGATTCAAAGACTGGTTGCAATGTTACATTGCCAGAAGTCAATTTTGTATGATCTTTAACTGAACTAGGTACTTCAGATGAATTGTTTGCAGATTTGCTAGTTGATATATTTACATTTCTTCCTTTACAATTCATAGTAGAATTTGAATCATTTATTTCCAATGATATTCTGCCATGGAAACTTGGAGAACTAGCTTGTTTCTCACTATGATGAGGTTTATCACTATCATTAACTTCACTGACTGTTAAATCATTTTCTTGTTTCTCAAGATATTTTGATGATGCAACATCTGAAATAGTTTGTTTCTCACGGTGATGAAGTTTACTGCTAAGTTTATCGTCAACTCCACTGGCAGCTATTTTTTTTTCTAGTTTCTTCAGACATTTAGAAGATGTGGCATCTGAAACAACTTGTTTCCCACCTTGATAAGGTTTCTCATTGTGTTTATTGTTGGTGCCACTATCTATTAATTTGTTTTGCAATTTCTTAAGACATTTAGTGGTTGTGGCATCCGAAGTTTTCTTTTTCTCTTTATGTAATGTCAAATTTGTCTTATTTATATGAACATCATTAGGGTTAATATTGGTATTAGAATATGAAAAAGTTTGATTACTTTTTTGAGATGGCGATTTATTCGAGATTTTCTTATTTTTATTTACACTAGGTTTATGTTTTCTGCTCACCGATTCAGATTGCACATTTGAAGCTTCAGAAGCTGGTGACTTTGAAAAAATTTGCTCTACTACCTGTCGTGCTTCTTCAGCCAGTATATTCATATTTTTATCAATAAGATGTTTGTCTTTTAAGCTGTTAAATTTAGAGATGTTACTACAATGTTTATTATCTTGTGTTGTATACCTAAGTAATCTTTCTTCATCAGTTAAAACCTGACCTGAACTTGCAAGCTTTTTCAACTCTTTTTCATCTTTACATAAACTGTTAGATTTTTTGGGGGGAGATATGGCTGCATTTCTTTTCCCTTTCCTACTTGTTTCAGATGTCTTCAAAATAGATGGGCACATTTTAGACTTTTGAAGATTACTATCAAAATGTTCTTTTTTGGAAACACTTATAAACTGATCAGTTTGACCCTGAACTGGTATACTTTTTGTAATATGTGATTTAATCTGAGGATCATCCTGTTTAGGCGTCGAAAAAAAATATTCATCGACATCAGGTAAATCAGAAGAACTACTACTATCACTTTCAGGGAAGTATTCATTCCGATGAAAACGTTTTTCATCAGAAGGAGCATTAAGTAAGATGGTAGTATTTTCAGGTTCTTTTTCTAACAAAGAATTAGCTGTTAAATTGGAATCATGACCAGAAGACTTTTTATTGTCAAATACTTCTTCCACAGCAGGAGGATTGGCTACCAGATCAGAATTATTATAAGAACATTTTTTATTTTTAGTACTAAGTCCATGTTCTGCACTAGGTACTGATTCTGATGGTGTAGTTTTCACAGCGTTTTTATTTTTTGAAGCAACAGGAGATTTTGATGCATTAGTTAAAACAGGTGACAATTTAGTATTACACATGCCATCTTCTGCATCAATAAGAACTTCAGGCATTGAAGCACATAAATTATCAGTTTGAACCGTTTCACTTATATCTGCATTACATGACATTTCAGATATTGTTGAAAGTGTGTTATTTGATGATTTAATTGTAATTGCTTCTTCCATAGCCTTAAGTACAACATTAGCCATTTCAGAAGCACCAGTTTTATTGGTACAAACCTCCTGTATAGTTTTGTCAATTATTTCATTAGTGACATGCTGACTTGAGACAGAACAATTATCATTATAAGCATTTTCCTTTTCAGTGTTCTCTTCATCTTCAAAAGCATTATTTTCAAAACCTCTATTATCATCAGCAATGTCTAAATTCTTAGATTCCACAGATATACCACGTAATTTTTTTATTCGAGAAGATGCTCTTCTGTTTGGAAATTCTTTATCAAATTTCTTTTGCCAGCTTGTCTTTACCTGACTGCCTCCTTTCTCTTTGTTCTTTTTAGGACTGAAATCTAAAGTTCTTACATGAGTTGCATTTAATCTTCCACCTTCACCTGATAACAGTTTAGCAGATGAAATCAAAGTTTGAAGAACAGGACTTTGTTTTTCAGTAACTTCAGTAATTTCAGAAAAAATTTCAAAAGCAGATCTTAGATCTGATTTACTAGGTGAGGGTTCTGGGATAGAAATAACAGGGATTTCATCTCCAATTTCTGTAATCTTTGACTTCTGAGTACGATTTTTATTAGGAGAATCTGAGGAATCAGAAGGAAATAGTGATCTTGATTTCCTTCTTTTATTATACTTTCTACACTGTTTTACAGGTTTAGAAGATTTTTTCCCCTGGACATTATATGCTCTTTTTTTTGGTGCAGGCTCATCTTCCCCCTCTTGTTTACGCTTATTAGTTTCTGATGGTTTAGTTGCTGTAAAAATACAGATTAACATTAGAAGATGCACTAAAAAACAGGAATATTTATTAATAAAGTCTCTAAAATTTTATTTGTTATCTTACAAGGTGTCCCCACTCAAAAGAGGCCTCGGGTAAGGCGTGATAAAAATCTTATAACAGAAAGAAATGAAACCAAATGTTTACATAACGTCTTTATGTTTGAGAAATGAGCATTAGAAGAGGTGCTGGAAATGACCTCTTCCCACTTGTATACCCAGTTCAACATGGTGTTGCATTTTCGTGTATGTTGCTCCCAGATTACACATGGTAGAGAGATGAAGCGTGGTTCTACTTGTCAGGATAATGTAAACAAACAAAACACATATTTTTGGAGTAGTTGCAACCACCATGTAGCCATCGAAGAAGCCTTTCATTCACAGAAGATGGGTGTGTTTTGTGCATTACTACAGCGGCACATCATCAGGCCAATTTTTTTTACATTACTGTCACCACTGAAGTGAAATAAACCATGGCCCTTTTTCATGAATTTGTGAACCAGTTGGATGATGAAGAGCTAACACTTGGGTTACCAGCAAGATGGGCACACATCTGTAGCGAATATGAACATGGTAGAATCACTTTTCTACACCTGATCTCCCTTGATTTTTTTTTTCACATAAAGTTATGTCATGTAAAAATTTGGTTTCGTTTCCTTTTATTATAAGATATTTATCACACTTTTCCCAGGGCCTCTTTCAAGTGAGACATCCTGTATATTTCACATCCAGTGACAGACACTGTAGCAGAAAAGGTCACAACATTTCTTTTTATTTTAATTTTAGTCTTGGGTAAAAATGGAAGAAAAATATAATTCTCATTATTTGACACAAAAGAGACTGAATGTTAAACAAATAACGAAAAACTTTCTAGTATCAATTCATAACATAGGCCAAAGTAACACTATTAAAAAGCAACATTTTACTTGTTAGCTGTAGTTTATATATATATATCAGGGTTTAACGAAAGGTTCCCGCCATCGCAAATATCGTATGTGCAAGTTCAATCTCGTACAGTTCGCACTGGCATGTTTAATTATATTTTGTCTAACAATTTTTGGCATTTGAAAGAAAGTGACTTGCTTTAGATTACTGTGTTGCGAAATTTGTAAAAAAATATTGTTATCATTAAGTACAAGATGTCTGAAATGAAACTATCATGCTACCAGATTACAACCACCATTTACTTCTGTTGCAAAAAGGCAGCTATAAAAATTTCACCAAATCATGTGTATAGCTTTAGGATTAATGTTGTATCATATGACACTGTGAAAGTTTGGTACCAAATGATCAAAAATAAGGACTATGAGACATTCAAGAAGAAGAGTGCTCTGGCCAGCCTACTGATGTTGATGAGGCCTGCCTATGAGAACTTTAAGGGATTAGTATGCAACCACTGGAGAGCTTGCTAAGGAGTTAGACGTTAGTGCCATGTCCATTAGTCATGCTATGCACTGCAGAAACTTGACGTGCAAGTTCAGTTGCTGGGCGCCGCATAAACTGACTCAAGCAGACAAGAACAGACATGTTCAGGCCTGCAATAATCTGCTCAAATATCAATACAAGAACAAAATTTGGACTGGATTGTCCCTTGTAATGAAAAATGGATTTAAGTCAATAACAAAGGCCAAAAGGGGGTTGGTCTGCACCCAATGAGCCTGTCGGCAGAGTTGCGAAACGATATTTGTGGCTAACACAAAATCCTGATTAAACTGAAGTCAGCTATATAAAATATAGGAAAGTGGAATAAATCATAATATAATTAACAGAAAAAGACTGTTAATTTTTTTTTTTTTTTTTATTTTCAAGCAATTTAACATGGAGGAAAAATTCATTTGGTTACATACATTAAATCAGTATTATATTACATCTCCTCCTTCTTTTGCACCTTCTTTCTCACACGTTTCTTCCTCACTTCATAGCATACACACTGTTAACTTTGCTTGTATTATAATTTTAGGATTCTGCAACTTACTTTTGAGGAATGATTCAATAATGTTCATATATTCCATATTATATACAATTAAACTGCATACTGCTGTAGATAAAAATAACTCCCTCATGCTTTTATGACATCGTCCACTACCACTCCTGTTAGCCCATGCACTTCTCCATGTAGAATTAAAAAAAAAGGAACCTTTTTTATTTTCCATTGACAGTTTTATGTTAATTTAATGACAGTAATTTTTCTTTGGTGTGTTTTTTCTTTCTAGTGCTCCACGATAAACAATGTTAAGTTTTTTTTTAATAAGGCATGGTTGCTATTCCAACAGACAACCAAGAGTTGAATTGCAGAATTACATCAAGTATACCAAGAAAGAAGACCTATCCTGCATGGTCAGAACTTAATGTTAGTTCATAATAACTAGTAACCGATTCGATATACAGAAATCTTACTATAAAGTTAAAATTAAAACATAAAATTTATAAAATTCATGGTTTTTTAAAATTTTTGTTAGATTTTGTTTAATTGCTCAAATCTGACTGATCAAAAATTAAATCTGAGATGCATCATTATAATGCCATAAGATTTTCCTAAACCCTTTCAAACTTGCGACAAACAATGAATAAAAAGCGATTTGCTTAAAATGATTTGTTGGTTCAATTAGAACCAAGACAAATGTAACATCTGAATAATGTTATTTACAAGCATTAGTAATGACAAAGAATTTTCATTCAACTGTTCTAAAATAAGAATTTCAAAATAAATTTCAGCCAGAATTTCAAAATAAATAAGAATAAAAAATAGAAATATTACATTCATAAAATAAACAGCTCTATATCAAATAAAACTCTTAAGAAGACAGAAGAAATAGCTTCAGAGGATTTTAAATGTGGCTATATCTAGTAGTAAAGTTACACATGGGAGAGAGGTGCAGTCACCATACATATATACAGTGAGGTGACAAAAGTCATGGGATACCTCCTAATATTGTGGCGGACCCACTTTTGCCTGGCAAAGCAACTCAACGTGGCATGAACTCAACAAGTTGTTAGAAGTCCTCTGCAGAAATATAGAGTCATGTTGCCTGTATAGACATCCATAGTTGCGAATGTGTTGCCGGTGCAGGAATTTGTGCATGCGAACTGACATCTAGATTACGTTCCATAAATGTTTCATGGGATTCACGTCGGGTGATCTAGGTCGCTAAATCATTCGCTGGAATTGCCCAGAATGTTCTTCAAACTAATTAAGAACAGTTGTGGGACAGTGGCATGGTGCATTGTCATCCATAAAAATTCCATCGTTGCTTGGGTACATGAAGTCCATGAATGGCTGCAAGTGGTATCCAAGTAGCTGAACAAAACCATGTCCAGTCAATATCAGTTCAGTTGGACCAGAGAACCCAGGCCATGGCATAAAAAAAAAAAAAAAAAAAACCACACCCCTGAGCCACCACCAGCTCGCACGGTGTCTTGCTGACAGCTTGGGTCCATGGATCCATGGGGGTCTGTGCCAGACTCGAATCCTACCACCAGCTCTTAGCAACTGAAATTGTGACTCATCTGACTAAGCCATTTCCTGTCATCAAGGGTCTAATTGATATAGTTACGAGCCCACAAGAGGAGCTGCAGGTGATATCATTCTGTTAGTAAAGATACTTGACTCTTGTCTTCTGCCATAACCCATTAAAATCAAATTTCGGCACACTGTCCTACTAGACACACCTGTCGTACATCCACATTGATTTCTGTGGTTATTTCACACAGTGTTGCTTATCTTTTAACACTAACAATTCTATGCAGACATTGCCAGTCTCAGTCATTAAGTGCAGGCAGTCTGCCACTGTGCTGCCCATGATTAGGTACTCTCGTTACACCTTTGACTCTGTGGATCTCAGAATGTTGAATTCCCTCACGATTTCCGAAATGGAATATCCTATGCGTCTAGCTCCAGCTACCATATCGCATTTGAAGTCTGTTAATTCCCGTCGTATGGCCATAATCACTAAATCTTTTCATCTAAATAATTTGAATATTTGCATATTGCTATATCATGAATTTTGTCACCTCAGTATATATGCATGCATACATGCATGTGTGTCCTAAATACACATATATGCATGTGTGCAAGTGCATAGTTTTCTGTATTGTATTCATTAATTAATAACTGCCATTTCTGACATAACTACATAGGTTCATCACAAAATTAAGCTACAAAAACATATTATTCCAGAACTGTTATATTCACCAGAATTATTCAATTATTAAAATGCTGCAGAACAGTAATGCTAAAATCACATTCACATAAAAGTTTTAGTGGAAAGAGATAGTAGGAATGAAGAGTTCCCGATAATTAAGAATGTAATGAATGGACTAGTTTAACGTTTGGTATGGAAGTCTCTTATCTAATACCACAGAACAGTTTCAGATGAGCCTTTTGATATGAATGGGCTTACATTGACAGAATAAGATATGATCATTGAATGTGACAGATGACTCATAATTCAGTGGAAGTTTTCCCAATTCAGCTTTGAGGTCTGCTCTGCAACAAATGGAGAAAATATAGAAAAATTATTAACATGATATTGCAGACAGTGATAAGATAAAGCATACAAGATCTGCTTTAAGAGGGATGTCTTAATGGAAGATTTTATAAGGAAACCTGACTTATATTCATATTGCACATGATGAAGAGCATGAAGCAAGCCAATGATTCAGCAATGGCCTCAATGCACAATAAGCATAAAATGCAATGTTCATCAGAGAAAAATAGCTTTGCTCAAGAACAATCAAAGGAACAGTAATATGACATGCAGACATCTAAAGTAGTTGACAAATCTGTATATTCTTTATCAAAAGACCAGTTTTATTTTTTCATTTTTTACTCATTATTATATGTGTATGAGTTTTTGCACTAAATGCTTTTTACCTTTGTCTATATATAATTTATATCTTTAAAAGTTTCAAAATGTACAGTGCATGTTAACTTGTGACTACATGAATTCAAGACGTATTTCTTGAAGAGCATTTGCAACTAGTTTAAAGCTTACAGTTAACAATGGAAACCACTTTTAGACCTAGCAAGCTGACCTTTCTCAGCAATTTAATGTGTAAATCCTTTCAATATATTTACCAGTTTTTGAAGAATACATTTTTAGAATATACAACGATTCTTTTTCAGTAATCTTGTATCTACAAATGATCAGAGACATACATTATACTACATATGTACATAGTTAATAAATGTTAATTTCCTAAAATAATACTTTATAAATGGGTATATCTGAATAATTACTTCTAGATAGATTCTTACTTTGTTTAAAAAGTATAATGTTTTCATTTTTTTCACTCAGTATTGTAACTTGTGATCAATTAAAACTCAAAATAAAGAAATAAATACAGTATTTACTTGCATATTTCTCCCTCAGTATACTTTCCCAGTTTTTCAACATATGATTTAGAAATTTCTGATTTACAACAACAATGTAAAATATACATACAAATAGGAAAGTATTTTGTGCAAATGAAAAGAACACTGAAGTTGATAAGTCCTTCGAATTGTGTAGCATAATAATACCAGTTTATCTTTATGTGTTCTTTTAATGTGCTATGTTTATCATTTAAGCCACCTCTTCAGAAATAGTATACACTGTTTATTTCCTCTCTCAGTTTTCAAGCAGTAAAATTAGAAGAAAAAGGGGAAGAAATACACATACAGTAAGTTAAAAAAATATCCAATTATTCTTTTAGAAAGATTTTTTCTTTCCTTAGGCTTCATTCAGACAACAATTTTGTCATCGTAAAGCTTTGTGGTTTAAGGCATAAAAGTCATGAAGTCCATTCACACTTATTTAACAGGGTTTAAGCCACAGCCAAGCGGGGAAAAGATAACTGTGTATACATAAATATGTAGTTGACTCATAAAAGCCTCCGAACGATGATGGCTTTGCTGCAACTGGTGGTTCTTATATCGACTTGGCACAAAGCACAAAAGTTAGAACTTTTATGTAAAATTATTAAACCATTTTTTATGACACAGTAAGATTTAGTTGCTTAGCAATGAAGCTTGCCTTAAATCACTTATGACATTAAAATGACCATCTGAATGAAGCTTTATTACATTACAAAAATATTCGCAGTTGAGTATCTACATATCAGATAAGTTCTGAACACAGTCAAAAGTCGTTAATTCGGACACCCATAATCCGGACCTCAAAGCTACAACTTTCTGCGCATGCGTCGCATTTACGTGTGGGCGTAAAACCCTTACGACTGCGCAAGCGCATAATACATTTACGCATGCGCGTTTAATGTATAATGGACGGTATAAGCTAAAATTATCTAATTATCTATTTCAGTTAATGTTGCAGATTGCGTTGTTCCTTAATCTTCAAATTGGATCCAGCTTATTATTTTTTGCAGACTGTTTGAGCAATTTTATAAAAGTAAGCTTGAACTTTTGATTATGTCAAATAGAATTTCTGATGCTGGATTGGCTTAAATTCCAAAGGATCTACAAAGGATAGTATGTTTCGATGTCCATCAAACAAAAAGTGGTATTGCTGCAAAAAATGGATAAAGGCATATCCGTCTCAAAATTATGCGAGGAGTATAACATTGGAAAGTCAAGTGTATATGACATAAGCAAAAAGAAAAAGGAACTTTTTGATTTTTTTTTTTTGTGGATTCCGACACCCCACTTGCAATGAATAACAGAAAAGGGGTTCGTTATGCTAAAAGTGACGATCATGACAAAGTGATGATTGAATGGGTCAGACAGCGTCGCAGCGAGGGCGTGCCATTAATGGGTCCAATGGTAATGGCTCAAGCCAAAATATTTCATGAAGAAATTAACTTAAATGGAGAGTGCACATATTTGACAGGTTGGTAAACAAAATTTAAAAATTTCAGGTGAAAAATCTTCAGCTGATACTGAAGCTGCTGAACTATTTGCAGATGAATTCATTGAATTCATTACTAGTGAACAATTATCTGCAGAACAAATTTGCAATGCTGATGAAAGTCTCTTCTGGCAATATGTACCACAAAATACCTTGGCAACCTCTACAGAAAAGGCTCCAATGGGTGTCAAAGATTCCAAAATGAGACTAACAACTTTAGCGTGCGCAAATGCTGCAGGAACGTACAAGTAATTTTCGTAATCGGAAAACACGCATGACCTCGAGCGTTTAAAGGAGTAACGATTTTCCCTGTTATATATCGCGCAAATAAAAGAGCATGGATGACACAAGTGTTGATGAATGATTAGTTTGAAAATCATTTTATACCCGAGGCTAGGCGACATTTGAATTCGGTTGGTTTACCTGATGACTCAAAAATAGTCTTGATTGTTGATAACTGTTCGGCGCATACTTCACTTAAAGTTTTAGTGAAAGATAATGTATCCGTATTGTTTGTCCCTCCAAATTGTATGTCTATCATTCAGCCTATGGATATGGCAATAGTGCACGTGCTGAAATGCAAATATAAAGCAGCATTTTTAAAATCTATGTTAAATTTCTTGAACAGTGACAAGACTATTCAAGAATTTTTGAAATTTTTTAGCATAAAATCTGCCGTGTGGAGCATCACAAGATCGTGGAAGGATGTGTCTCCAAGTACATTAAAAACTGCTTTGCATAATTTATGGCCATCTACCATATTTCATGGTGAGGAGGATGAAGATGATAGCCGCGAATTTGAAGGTTTTCGGACATCGCAAACTAAAGGTGAAATTTTTCAGTTATTGGATTTTGTAAAGAAATGTGGAGAAGAGGTAATAAATGAAGATGATATAAGAGAAGTTTTTCATTGCAACGACAATGCCCCAATTATCAATCAATTAACGGACAGCGAAATCTGTAGTATGGTTCTAGATACAGAAAATATCACTTCCGATAGTGAAGAAAGTGACACAGAGGTTATTGAAAACAAAACAATTTCGATTGACAAATTAGTCGGTATTCTCAACAACACAATTATAGGACTTGAACAGCGAAACTTTGTAACTGAACAAGAAATTATGTCTGCTTATAGAATTAAAGAGAATGTATTATCACATAAAACGAAGCAACTTAAACAACTTACATTGAAAGAAATGTTTAATAAAGTAAACAGATAAAATATTTTTTTTGTTTTTGTCAATTTTGATACTCTTTAGATCATAATTGTTCTTTATTTCATAAATTACAGTTTCATATTTTTAATTTTATAATTTCTGCATGCCATCTTACCAGATTTAAACTGATGATCTATAATCCGGAAAAATCTATAATCTGAAATTGCCGAAGTCCTGACGAGTCCGGATTAACAACTTCTGACTGTATTAGGCAAATATTTTACGTTCAAGTTAATGAAATAATGATTATAAAAAAATACATACATGATGGTATGAAGACTAATTTTCTTACAGTTCTATATTCAGGTTTACTTCTATCCTTACTGCTTACTACAACATTCGATGCTCCCATATCTTTGGGAAGTGGCAAGTATGTGTTTGGAACCTGGTTGACTGAAGAAATTGGTTGAAGAGGTAATATCACATTACTTGCATTACAAGAGGTTTGATTCGAATCCGGTTTAAAGATTATTTGATACTGGCAGGCATTTGAGTTTGGCAAAATGCTTGGCAAAACATTTGGCAGATTATTTGATACAAAGATTGTAGGCACAGTTGAATAAGGCCATTGTAATACAGAAGATGCAGGTACAGAATTATTTACATTTTGGCATGGAACACCAAGAGTAACAGTTTGAACAGATGGTACTGAAGTGCTAATTTCTTGAAGGGTATTAGGTATATTTCCAACATTAGAAACAATATTATTGACTGCTTTGCTACACATGGTTGCTTGACTAGACACATTTTCAACTGCACTAGGAGCAACACTATTGGAAAACATTTGATTAATGTTCATACCAGTTACCATCTGCTGCTTATCTTGAAAGTTATCAACCAGGAATTTGTTTTTGTCTGCATGGTTTCCATAAAGATGGATATCATTAGAATCAGTGGGTACTGCAGTTAGAGTTCTGGCTTCAGTATTAATAATTTGTTTACTAGATGATAAGCTCATTTGAACTGATGAATTATTTTCGTTATTTTTTCCTAACTGCTGATAATGGCAGTTTGGACAGCTTTCTTGTAAAGCTTTCCATGAATCATTATCAGTTGTATTAACAGTAACAATATTTGTAACTAATTCTTCAGAATGACACTGAGGACATTTTGATTTATGTTCATTAAGTATGTTATAACAAGAATCTGCAATATCAACTGATTGAACTTTTGAATCTTCATTTTGCGTATTTACCTCCTTAGTCGAAAGGCCTGGTGCAGAAGAAATTTTAGCTGGAGCATCAATAGATTTAGAAATATCCTGCTTTTGTGGTGAAATCACAGCTAATTCAATGACAGAATCATTATCATCATCATCATCACCATTATGTGCAGAATCAAGAACAGAGTCAGCTATATTATTAGGAAGTTTATCAGTATTTTCAGCACAATTTATAGCATCAGTATTTTGGACTGGCACATCAGTATTTTGGATTGACACATCAGTATTTTCAATTTCATCATTATTCTGGGTTGATGGAAGATTACAGAAAGAATTATTGTCTGGCAAAGTACTTTTTTCTGCTGAGGAACTAAGTTCAGATAACTTGTCACCCTCTTCATTTGTGATGGAAGACACATAATTTACAGCATTTTCAACAGAAGAGGGATTCACTGCTGCCTGCTTATCACTTTTCTTGTTTTCTGCAGAGCCTGGAATACAGTTATTGTCCTTTGTAACATCAGCATCACCCTTAAATGTATTATTTTGGGCAGAATTTGCAGCAGATTCTTGAGTCAAATTAACTTCAAAGCTGTCTCTGCTATCTAAAAATTGTGGGGGGGAAAAGACAGTTTAAAAGCATTGCAACATTATTAAATTTTGAAGGTGAAGTAATAAAATTCAAAATAAATTATATGTTCTTTGCTTTGGTATTCATCACATGCAGAATTGTTTCCAAAATTTTATATTTTAAAAGAATTATGTAAGTTTTACATTGAGCAAAATAGAATGTTTTGGAATGACTTTAGAACAGCTTTATCTAAAATACCATAGCTTGAACATATTGTTTCTGTTACTTCATAGGCCATGAGTTAAAAAAGGAGAGGGCAGCTTAAGAGATGCCAAAAATAAATTCATAAAATAATAAATAAATAAATAAATAAACTATATTTATAAGCATTTTAGTAACATAGGAGGTAAACAAATTCCCTACACTCAAGCTAAATATGACATTTTCCAGGAAACTATGTATCTTTATTTTCAATGACAGTCCAATTGGAAACTGAACATTTTCCTTTCTTTCTTTTTTCATACATAGCAAAAGTGCATATTGCAGCAGCAGCAAGGACATTATTTTAAGTACAATTGACTAAAACAAAATGCTGACGGTTACATTTTTTTCTAACTTTAAATTATTTTCTTTTGTTATATTAGTCAATTATTTGAGAATCATGCCCAACAATGATACTACCTAAGAAATATAAAATTCATGTAAAATAAAAAAGTCCCAGCCATTTCAAATTAGAAGCTAAGGCCATACAAGACCTCATCAAATTATATAGTTTGACATTACTTTTCCCTATCTTGATGTTAAAGAGGAACTTCCTTCTGATTACTTAAGAGTAAATTTTGACATTTACGGTTTCTATCATTGCTCTGAAAAAAGGTGTGTGAAAATTAATTGGACTAAATTGACCAAACAACTAGCTACCATGCCCTGTAATGTTAATGTTCAACACTGCGGAAATGCTGAAAATGAAATCTATAGACCATCTACTAAAATTCAGGATGCTCTAAAAATCATTACTAGTAGTACTACTACTCAAGTTAATCAATGTCTTAAACTTCCTACTCATATTACCATCATCAAAGAGAAAAATCAGCTCAGAAAATATTAAAAAATAACCAGGGACCCAGTTACGAAAAGCAGAGTTAATTATCTGACCCGAAAAATAAAAAAATGAAACCACTAATTACCGATCAGAAAGATGGGATACTCTCCTTGAAAATACTGATGTAGAACCCAACAACTAGCTGGAAAATTGCAAACTTCATCAGAAAAGAGAGAACCAATAGAGTTTTCCATATAAATCACATGGGACACATTATCCACTCAGAAAAGGAGATTGTAAATATCATGACAAATGAATTCGCTGAATATTTCAAACCAAACCCTTCATTTAATCACTCCCATGAAAAAGAAATCAAACATTCAGTACCTCAAAAGAAATCAAAGAAAGAAATAATACTAACTTCCTTTTGGTTACATCCCCAGGTGAAATCAGAAAAATTATTTAAAACTTCCAAGTTTAAAAAAGGCACAGGTTTTGAGGGTATTAGTGTCTGGGTACTGAAAGCATTTCAATACTGATGTATCATGTTATTTTCCAGCTCGATGGAAACACTCCATCATAATCACAATTCTCAAGCTTGGAAAGACCCAAACATCACTTCAAGTTGTCACCCAATAAGTTTGCTACCTACCATACGAAAGCTTTTAGAGAGAATCCTAAATAACAGACTAACTGAACATCAGGAAAACTTAAACTAATTGAATACTCTCAATTTGGCTTTAGAAAAGAACACTGCAAACCTTCCAAGTCAGATGTGGAGATTCTCCTCCTGATAAAAAGATTATTTGCAGTGATGTACCACAGGGTTCAATTTTAAGCCCAAAATTTTCAATATCTACATGAACAATTTACCTAACTCACTAAATTCTAAAATACATACCACAGCTTTAATATTGCAAAAGAAAAAAAATTTGATGTGGACATTTCCTTGTATGGCCTATTAAATTATACACATCTTTTGCTGCATTTCATTTAAATGCAATTCCTGGAATTTCATTACAGATATATTTCTCGTTCAATTAATTCAGTTCTCACTTCATGGCAAAGTAGAAATACACTGGTGTCCAAACATTAAGCATAATTGATGTTTATATGAGTATTTAAGGAAATCTAAGTCAGAATGGCAGGAAACGTGATACAGCTAGCTATACCATTTTAAAAAAAAGGCGGGGTTGAAGGGGAAAAAAAAAGACTAATCTTTTTTATTATCCAAAGAAACAATTTGAAAGTAAACAGTGCAAAATAACAGTTTATACTTTTGTGAAAAAAATTTTAATAAAAAGGTTATTTGGCGGTTTAATAAGGTGTGTGATCACCTTCCATAGCCACGAATGCTGCACAATGATTGGCCATAAGTGTTATGCCCTAAAAAAGTGCTGCACAATGATTGGCCATAAGTTATGAGAGTGGGGATGAGTTGTGGTTTCAAACAAGTTCTAAGCTTTAAACAAAGCTCTTTTCAGTTCTGGAATGGATGATGGGCACTGAAGGACTTGCTTGCTTCTCGAGCATAACCCATGCATGCTCAATAGGATTAAGATCAGGCGAGCGAGCGGGCTATTGCATGCGCTCGATATTGTAACTTTCAAGGAAGTTGATGACCAGTACTGCACAGTGATAAGGAATACTATCATCTATGATTTATGAATACAGGACCGACAGCACCTCGAAACAGGCAAACATAAAGCTAAAGGACTTCGTCTCTGTACCTTTTACCAGTAACAGACATAGAGGTCAGTGTGGGCATCCAGCATTATGCCTGCCCACAGCAAGACTCCTTTGAAGGAAAATGATGTCTTTCCATGATGTTTCTTGGGTGAAAACGAGTTTCACATTCTCTCCATATCGTTATCCGATGAGAATCAGTGTTCAGAGTAAACCAGGACTCGTCAACGAACATCACATTAGCTCAATTTTGCCAACTTCAATGTTGATATTTTAAACTTCCACTTACACAAGCGTGTTTATGTGCAGGCATGAGAGGAATGCAAATAGCTGGTCTTCTAGCAATACAGACTAGAATGATCGAGTCAGCCAGAGAAGAGCTTAAAAAAATTAAGCACCTTTTGAAAAATTGCGAGATTTTGGTAGATCATGTTAACAAACTCCAAAACAATATATCATCAGTATATTGTTTCAACAATTATTTCTTAATCTCTTGGATGGCACAAGAATTAAAAATTCTATGACCAGCCAGAAAACTTCCAGGTTTTTTTAGGGTATAAACGGAATTTTTTGAAAGGAAATTTCTATGTTATTATTTTGGTTGCATGCTAATCTCCTTATTCTATATTAGTTTTAAATTTTTACCTTGAAATCATGCCTAAAATCGAATGGCGAACCGAGGTGTTCTCAGACTGGGCTCACTGCGAGTCTAGGTCACTGAGAGGAGCTGTATCTTTGTTTCTCTGCAGCTCATCGGTCAGCTCAATAACAGAAAGGTGGGTCCACATCTATGTTTCATTTCCTGTTTTTCTCTTTCTTCTTTTCCCCCCTTTTTGGGGGTGGGTTGGAGGTTTGGTTATCAACTAAGAAATTGTTGGGGTGATTTTCTGAAGGTCAGGGATAATTTTATCAGTTAGCTGTTTGGTTTTTCACTACAGCAGTTCTCTTTTTCTCTTTCGCTTTGGTTCAAAGAAGTTTTCTTAGTGCTACGTTTAATAGTTTTGTGTTGTAGACATTTATATTTTTATTTTATAGTTTATAATTTCAAATTGTACATATAATATTAGTGGTTTTTTTAAAAAAAAATTTTTTTTTAAATAATTTTTCAAACGGATCGGAGAGGGCTGAACCACTGAAAGTGCTATATGAATTGCTTCCAGATAGTGAATCTGATACAGATCCCGGCACATGTGCAAAACATGCCATATTGGGTTGTGCTTATTCAAAGGTGGTGTCTCTTTCTTCGAAAAGTACCACAATGAAAAAAAATAGACTAAAGTGTAAATATGAAATATAAATATCATATACCCAAGTTACTTTATTTTCCATTCATAAGCATGTAATCATCATATAACTAAAAATGGGCTTTTTAGAGGGGGATGTAGAATCTCTTACTCTTTTATGCGCTTTCAGCAATGCTCGTTTCAGCACTGTTTTCGAAGATCTATTCAAACAGTGCGCCCGCTCAAAATTAAAAGGATGAGTGCTATCTTTACAAAATTTTACTTGTGTACTCCTCTAGGCCTAATTAAACTGCATACTTTTTTTTTTAATTTGAAATTGCAACTTTAAAAGGTAACGCGCCAGAAAGGGTTAACAGCATTACATCTCATTCATTTTATAACTCAAGAGTGCCCAAAAATGATATCATCAGAAGAATTACTACAAGTTCTATTCAAATACTATAATAAATCTAAAATGGTGTATAAAAGAAATTAAACAAATAAAAAAGTAAAAGTTTTTCACAGACGATTCAGCGCTGCTTACCTAATGTGCATGCGCTACAGTAATTAATTCAGTTTTCACTTCATGTCAAGGCAAAAATACATAAAAATTCAATATATTTTTATTAAAAATGATACAGAAAAACATAAATCACCAAATACAATTAAAATAATATTAAAAATAATTTTTACAATTAAAATTATACTTTCTATGCAAAAAACAAGCTAATAACTTAAATGATAATTACAGAATGAATTAAGCATAATTTAATTCCCAATAATGAAAGAAGATGTTACTTTGCTGCTGTGAAGCTTAGTTTATCTAGATTGGCAACAAATCCACAATTTTGCTAAAATGTAAAAATGTGCTAAGTTAAGGGGGGGGGGGGGGAAAGTAAAAAACAAACAAACAAAAAAGGGGGGGGGGGGGGGTGGGGGGGGGGGAGGGGGGGGGTAGGGGGGAAGGGGGGGGGGGGGTAACAAAAAGTAGGGGGGGGGGGGGGGGGGGGGGGGGGGGGGTGGGGGGGCGGGGGGGGGGGGGGGGGGGGGGTTAATCGCACTTAAAAAAACTTTTAAATAGCGATAATTCCACAATTATTGCATGCTGGCTAACTAACTGCTTAAAATTTTTAACCGGAAGATAAGAGCATAATTCCTTTTAAAGTAAAAAATGCTCAATTTACAAACATATAAGAATAAAGAAACTGAGCTCACTGAGCTGAGTAGCAGAGTGAATATATATACATATATTTATATACTTTTGGTATATAAATTGCAACCAAAATACGAGTTCACATCTACATGTTATAGCAGTCCTATACATAAAATTTCGATGTTCTGAGGGAACTCGTTTTTGAGTTATGCAAGAAACATACATACATATACACACCACAAAAAGAAACTCTTTAGAATTCATTTTAAATCAGTTTTATAATTTTTTTTGGAGGGAAAAGTCCTTTATTCTGTCCTTACATACAGATGTCATGCAAAAACATCGTTAAATTGTATTCAATAGTGGTCAAAATGGATATTTACGCTGAAATATGATACCTGAAAGTGTTCGCGATTACAATATTTCCTTTTTACTTCAAACAAGGAAGTAAAAATGAAGGGGGAAAATATCAATTGAGCAATTTTCAACATTTAAAAATAATAATAAAAAAAAAAACTTGGAGTCTTAAGTAGATGGGGGGAAAAAGTGTTTTGAGTTTGCCATCTTGGCACTCTTAATAATGAAGTTTACCATTTCAGTCTAGTGCATTTAATGACAAGGTTTGCCATTTTCACGTAAAATGCTTGTTAAAAAACATTATTATTACATCTAGTTCCTGAAACTGCAAAATATTCAAGCAATTTCTTAATTCTTCGAATGTTGTTCAGTTAATTTTCTTTCTTTATTTTTTGTTATTATTTAATACTTGTATATTAATAATAACTAAAAGTTTCAGCATTGATAATATGTCATTGAGAGTTAAAAAAAAATAAAATAATACAATTAATAAAATGTTTTTATACAGTAAGCTTTTATTTAAAATGGGTATGAGAGTATGATAATTAATGCCCTAAAAGAAGAAAAAAAATTTATCGTATTGTTTAATGGAAATAACAGATTACATAATTCTATTCATAGAATTTATCAACAATTTTATTTCGTATTTTTAAATGTAGAACACCTATGATAAATTTAAAAAGAAAATGACTTAAATATTGGCAATAAAATAAAATTAATAGAAAAATGAAAAAGATAACAGCTTTACACATCTGACAATACAATTCAATTTATAGATTTCATTATTTAAGCGCCTCACACTTTTATTACTCAAGATATAAAATTGGGTTACTATTCTGTTAATGGGGCTGGATTCAGAAATGCATGTATGTATGTATGCATGTGCTTACACACACATAGATATGTACATACATATACATATGCATACATGAACACATACATCCATATACAGATTTCTGAATCTGGCCGTCATTACAGAAGAGTACCTAAAATTGTAGATATTATATGTAAACAGAATTATTTAATCTATATTTCTCTATATGATAAATTATTTTTTCTTCTTTTAGAGCATTAGTTATCATATCCATTTTAAAGAAAAGCTCATAGTATAAATACTGCAAATATTTTTTAATTGCATTTTATTATTCATCTTATATCCCGCGAACAGGCTGGCTGCATGGGTGTTTTCGCGGTTTGCCATATGTGTAACGTGTATATGAACTAGTTTCCCTTAGAAAGTCCCCCACGAAGGCACCCCTTCCCTTAGGCAGATAGCCCTCGAGGCTTTTCCGTAATTAAATAACCTAACCTAACCTATTTATTCTTATAGAAAAAATAAATTCAATCAAACGTACATTTTCATTTAAAAATCACATTAGTATAAATTATCTTCATTAAGTTAAAACTAGTTTTAATTAGCACTAAGCTTCAAATAGAAGGTTATGCTGTTTTACATGAATGAGCAGAACTACCCATACATACAGAAATTAATTATGTTAAAAATGTTGTAATACATACAGAAATTAATTATGCTTTCATTGCTGACTATTTAACAAATCAAAAAGATAATAGGAGATAAACATTTCTTTTAAGCCAAGTTACATAAACTAAATTAATATTAAATGCAATCGAAAAGAGATTATGTATTTAGAAATATTATAATAGATTATAATTACTCTAAGGAGACTATAATATTGATAATAGAAATGCAGCTAATATACTTAAAAAAAAATACCTCTACACTCATAAAGGCTATAATGCACATATCAGCACTACATATATAAACAAAAAATACAGAATTATACAGCTCAACAAATAAAAACACATTAAAAATAATTATGAAAACTTACTGCAAAGATAAGAAAGAAAATCATCAACTACAGGATCGGCTTCAGTTCTTGCTATAACATTTTTAATGACATCTACAGATCCATTTATATCCTACATAAAATTAAATATACTACTTCACAAAAGACACACAATTCAGAGCTTTGACACTTTCAAAAAAGTAATATTTCTTCAAACAGGGTTCGTACACATTTCTGCATGCAGCAATTAAGGACTTTTCAGGACAAAAATTAAGGACCTATCAGCAAACAGGAACTGAATAAACAAAAGCAATTATCTACACCCAAACTTTAATTTTGTAATACCACTTTAGTAACCTACTTTTGTAATTTGTAAGAATAAAATAAATCTGTTAAGTAGGATGCATTATTATTAAACATAATCCAATATTTAACTTAATTATAAAATTTTTTTTTAAAAATTCATGAATATATCAATTTCATAAATTTTTTCAAGTAGCATTAAATTATAAAATTTCTTCAAACATTTATATTTTACACTTACAATAGTCCCAATGTTTAACTGTTACAGGTTAAAGGTGATTAGTAAATTTTTATATTTTACTAACAGGGATAGCGAAAACTAGACGGAACACCAGAACTTCGCCTATGGATTTCAAGTTTTGCTCCTGTCACATTCCTGTTCTAGCACAATATACATCACAGGGCATACAATGACCTGCCTCAAGAAACAGCTGAGCAAAGAATCTACTACACTGTGTACAGCATTCTCACCTTCTTCCTGGGTGGCCCCTTCATGCTGCTGGTCTCCATCATGCATTCTTTGTTTGTTTATAATTTTATTGTTTTATTTCGAAATACCAATTAGTATTTTGATAATGCTTTAATGTTTATTTATAAAATTCATTGTTCATAGATACAATTTTTATTCTACAACAGATTTCATACAGAATCCTGTTGTATGCAAGTATAAATATTTCAATTTTTTAGTTTTGGTATATTTCTGTTTTGTCACATGTTACGAGTTGCACGATCCCTTCTTTTAAGGCACATTTCATTATGTACTTGCTCAGTCCAAAAGTTTGGCAGATTTTATATCTGACATAAGTTAAATTGAGATGTAAAATACTAATCAGCATGACTCATAACAGAAGCTTGGCTGCTGCCATCGTAGATGCTTTCTGAAAGACAAAAGGGCCACTGATTGAATGCCTGACCCTGATACAATTGATAAGTGTTGAAAGTTAGTTGCACTTTGTCTGGCCCAGTTAATGTGATAGCTTTGCACAGATTTGCTGTAACCCAGTTAATATACAGTATTTAATATAAAGTTCAAATAAGTGGCTGAAGCACCCAAGGTGATAGGTTGTTTTGTATTACGTCTCATTAGCTGTAAGGAATAAAATTTTATTTAAATTTTTACATTTTTGTGTTGTATCATGCATCCACAATTAGGATTAAGGAAAGGCTATAACTCACCTTAATATGTAAAGATAACTTCTAAGGGTAAAGTTAGGGAGCTAGATATCCTTAGTCATAACAAATTTACACAGTTACAATTAAAGTCCCCCCCCCTAAAAATATTCATTCAAAAAGCACAAAGAAAATTTTACAACAATTTTAATTTATGATATTGATTCTAAAATGATGTTAGTATAATTATACATTAAAAGATACAAAAGATTTATATGCCTTTTTAATTAAAGAATTTTACAGATATCTTACTTAATTTACATGAATTTAGTTCTTTTTAGCATTTTTCCATGTTTATTTTGTTTCAATAAACAAATCAATGTTCTCATTAGTCTCTGCTTCATCTTCTAATCCGTTAACATTTTAACTATGCACCTTTGAAGTATAATTTGCTCTCTTTATAAAGTCAATTTTTTCTTCAACAAATTTCCTCTTCATTTTAGAATTTTAAGATTTAATTCAAGATTTCTGCTATTTAAAGAACTGCTTGTGGTTAAAATATATAGAAGGTACTGATAATTTTATCTCTTTAATAATATGAGTATTGAGAATAAATATGAAGCTCTATTAAGGTCAAGGCTGGTGCCAGAATTTTTAGAATGGCTATGTGTTGTGCAACTGAGACATATCACATGAATTTTTTAGTAAATTGTCAGTTTTCAATTTCTTTTCTTGCTTCAGTGCTTGTGTCTAGTGGAAAGATAAGATGATAAAAGTAAGGTAAACATATTAACAGAAAGATTTCTGCAATCAAAAGTAGAATATTCAAACAATTTTTTTTTTTTTACTGTCCTTCGAAAAATTCTCCAGCGGATAAGAAATTTGTCACAGATTTGTTTTAAATCATGTTCTTTACGTGTTAATATCATGAAGACATTTTTCATTTCATCACAGTTTTATGGAACTGTCGGTCTATACATCTTGCCTTCAAATACTTAACTTCCGAGGTGCAAGGTCCAAGATCTGAACAAAAAATTTTCACTATAAACTCTATACGAGCAAAAAGCTAGAAGATTTTTAGAGAGGGAAGAATTCAGAAAAGAAAAGTGTAAAAGTGTTACGGGAATTTTCAAGGGAAAATTGGTACACATTTAAATATTCTGAAACATTTACATGGGAAAAAAACTCTTATCATGAAAAAAATATAAAAGAAGACAAATGAAATTAATTTTAAAATAATGAAAATAGTTCCCCCCCCCCAGAAACTGTGCTTTATAGCACATATTACTTTGCTTATTTTTCAAAATCAAAACATTCGTAAACCACAACAGGAATTAATGGCAGAAAATAAAAATGTCTTAATTTAATGTTATTTCTTAAACATAATTTTAATATATTATCATTATTTTTATTATGTTTATCATTGTTATTATGTTTGTAAAGAAAATTGTCAAAAAATTCAGAAATCTCCGAATAAAAAATTTTGTTTACAAAAAGATCTTGAAGACCTGCTGTTCCTCTAAATCTTGTCTTGTCCAAAATGTTGCCATGTCATCAAATTTAGTGCCACATAATAAAACAACTCCTATTTCAAAAAGGGAAAAGTTGTTTTTGATGTACCATTTTATGAACTCTTCACACACAAAAAAGAAATAATTTCAAAATGTTTTGCAGTTCAATCGAGGCCGAACCTCAGCCTAGAACTCAAGTATCCACCATCGATATTAAGAAGTAGTAAAAAATTCAAACATTAACCCATTAATTGCATATTTGTCAATGAATTGCTAAACAATATTCCTTCAAAATGATAAATTTTAAAAAGTATAGAAATTGTCAATAAAGATAATTAAAGTGCCTGAAAAGAGCAAAAAAATAAATTATAAAAAAATTTTTAATTTATTGCTGATGAAGAAAATTTTTTTTTCCACATCCAAAAAATAGATTTTGTAAATCATATTCTTATACCAAAAGATTTCATTTAGTACTATTTAAAGTGAGAATAACTCATTTGTTATTCAGATAAGCCTAGGACCAAGGCCACAGCTGGTGCAGAATCTTGGAAAAGCAAATTTTTAGAATTTAGAGAAGAACGGAGCAACAAAATTAAGCAATGGTAAAAATCTTTTGAATTAAAAGAAGGCATTGGGATGCAAAATTTAAGGGCAGCAAAATTTTTAAAATTTAGGGAGGCACTTGGCAGCCCGTATACACTGTGCCGACTCTGGATAAGCCTAAGTATGTGTAAGAATTTATTTATTGTGGACTCTGACAACCCTTAAGCATGTGCGAGAAATACGCATAAGTATAATAAATTACTAAATAATGATTCAGGCTTAAAATTGTTCGGCATGTGATAGAAGCAAGATAAGATTTAGAGGAACAGCAGGTCTTTAATCGCCGATCTCATCATACATTGCCTATAGTATAAAGCAGACACTGGCTAGCAGCTAATTAGAAGGTTTTCAAATATCACAAAAAACCTCAAATTACTGAAATTTGTGAAGTCTAAATACTTTCCATGCTGTTCATATTATTCTAATTTTTAGTATAAGCCCATTATTTCAACATGATCCTACTCCCATTCATATAGCAAATGCTACACAAAGCTAGTTTGCTGGTAGTAATGGCCGAAGAACTGGAGTAACCTATTTAGTATAAACTCAACCCTACACAGTAACTGTATAAATTGAAACACCGGCTGTTAGGCAAACTATCCTCTCTCACAGGTGATAAAAGATCTTTTATAAAAATAATGTTTAATCTCAAAAACTGATTGAAAGTCTTCCTGGCAGAATGGCAACTGTCAATGTAGAAAAGATACACTCATACAATACAAATTCCTCACTTATTTGCAGAAAAGAGTAAAGAGATCTAGATACATTTAATCAAACAATAGAATCACACTGCAGAGAATATAAAAAGCAGTTATATCATTGAGTAATGAATAGCAAAAATTTATAGCAATTCATACTTGCAAAGATGGATAAGTTGAAGAATTAGAACCATCAGAATCTTTTACTAATTCTTCATTGCTTTTAACTTCTTTATTAATATTTTCGGCAATTATCTGTGCAAGAGTATCTGTACCATTAAAATCTAGAAACTACAAAAGTAGAAAAATTTATTTCAGTAACTAATATAGTTGTAAAGTTTCAGTAACTAACTAATAAAGATAATTTTATACATCAATACAAAAGTTTATTAACAATATAAGGATATATACATTTAATGAAAAAGAAATGCTATTTGAGCACCTGTAACATAAACATTATAAATAAAAAACTGCACTCATTCTAATTCATGAAAAGTGTAATTAATGTACCAATGTTATTTATTTACTTATGTCACGATATTTTCATTTCACTTAGATCACAAAATGTGTTGTAGCTAAAGAATGGAATTATTGCTAATTTGCACAGCATAAGATTCTTTTTATTGTTTTCCAAATTATAACAGCACACCATTCACAAATGCAATAATATGCATGTTTTAAAAACAATATGAGCTTTTAAGCAATACTTTGCAACAAGTTTTATTAACACATTTACTAGTAGTAAAATTAATAAAGGATAGTTTACACATACCCCTTGCAAGACAATATTATTAAGAATACAGTAAGTTTCCTGCCTGCGTATCATTCCCATCAAAGATAAAACCACACACCATTCACATCAAAAATAAATGTGTAAAGACAAAATTCTGTAATAACATACAATATGTAGCCACTTAGGGTTATATTATTAGGTATATCTATCTAACAATGTGTTGCTCCTTTCATTTTCCAACCAACCTGAACTTTTCTCAGCATAAATTCAACAGGATATTCAAAATACTGTAGAGGTACAATATATTATGCATTATGTAAATCCAGGAGACTGTTGGAAATGCCATCCTATTGCACACAGCTCTTTATAGCACATCCTAAAGATGTTCAATTGGACTGAGATATAGAAATCTGGGATAAAAATTAGCCACCACATCAAAAAAGCTAACTAGCATATTTTTCAAACCATTTCATTTTTGTTTCTATTACATTTACGAGTTGTATCAGATAAGGATCTATAAATCCATGCCATTTTTGTCAAATTCTATGTCAGCAAGAAAACAAAATACTTGCCTCATCAGTCTCCAAGTAACTTCCTTTTAGGTATAAATAACTCAATACTTATGACACTACATCCACAGAAGTCTGATCACTACAATATTCTAAATGAGCAGGAGCTACTACAACCTAGCTGCCAAGTAATTGCAATACATCACTCTGGGCTAAATTGTGCTCGGCAGTAGTTTCACAAAATGATTTGATTGCTTTTTTTTTTTTTTTTTTTTTTTTTTTGTTCAATTCTAGTTATCCTCCTTTGACTTCTCTCGTGAACAAGCAATTTTTGCATAGGAATGCAGGAATGATTTTCAGTGGAAAATTTATATTTGTTGTAAATTTATATTTTACAAATCAATGTATATAGCAATTTATAGTATTTCATTATTGACTGGATAAATATCTATGGAGATGATTTTATATGCATAGAAATAAAGACTGGAAATTCTTCAAGTTCATGTTTTAATCTTCATCTGTTTTCACTCTCAGCCACAATGACTGCAAGCTGATTACTCATGTATGTTCTCAGAAATATTTTATATATATATATTTGAAAAATGGGCATTTTATAAAATGTCTGGTGTTTGGAGATAAAATATGAAATATCTAAATTATTTTAATATTACATATATCTTCCCCTAGGTACTGCATGCAGTAATTATGCATTATATAAAATGACACATATTATTTAGGGAAAGTATTAAAAGAGTCATTTATTTATTTTAATGAAAAGACATAATGTAGAACTCAATACTCTGATGCCTTCTTTAACACGATAAATCAGTTTATTTCCCCCTTCACTAGCATCACATCATCACAATTAAAGCAGCTAACAATTTCATGGTTTCTTCTTAGTAGTTACCTTAGTCTTTTCCTCTTTACTGATATTGGTATTGGTTACCTCATTACTAGAATTGGTTAAACGAGGTAGGAAACACTGTCTTTGAAGCACTGTTTCATATTTTAGACAGTTCAGTGCAAAATTGTCATTGCATGTCAATATGTCATGACTCCTTTTTGAACATTAGACCTTGCACTTCCATTTTAATATAGCGCAGTCTTTGTTAGACTCTTTGCCGAACAAATTCAAAGTAGCTTTTTGTCGTTTCTGGACAAACAATGAAATAAAATAGTGAATTGTTCTCTATGAAATAAGCATTGAAAATCATTAGCCTTCACACGTGATATAAAAAATATCATTAGCAGAAGTATTAATACTTTGTCCATTTGTCTTTTGTTATTGCACAGAATGCCTATGAAAAATGTAAAATACTAAACATTTTATATTTTGATGTTCAATTTTTGGCATTCTGTAACACACTTACACAAAATAATAAAATCTGATGTGTACACAACATGACTTCCTTATAAAGAATATTAAATTATATGCACTTTTTCTTGCATTTCATTTAAACTTATTGGATTGAATTAAATCTACTTCGCCAACATCGCATAAACCACAATAGAATAAATGCATTCTTTAAAATTCACTCTATTTGTTTACCATAGCGACCTTGTAGCGCTAGGTTCACTAACATATTATATTTCGTTCATATTATACTCAGAATGCACAAAATTTATATCATTTAAAGAATTATCTAATCGTTGCCACAGTTCTCTATTCAAATACTATAATAAATCTAGAACAATGTATAAAAGAAATTAAGTAAACAAAACAAAAAGAAACAGTTTTTCACAGACGATTCAGCGCCGTTTACCCAATGCGCATGCGCTACTAATTAATTCAGTTCTCACTTCGCCGCAAGACAAAAATACATAAAAATTCGAAATATTTTCATTAAATTTGAAAGGTATAGAAAAGCATAAAACACCAAGTACAGTTAAAACGATTAAAAAAGCAATTTTTAAAATAAAAATTGCAGTTTCTACGCAAAAAAAGGCTAATAACTTAAAGGATAATTCCAAACTTAATTAAGCATAATTTAATTCGCAATAATAAATGAAGACGTTGCTTTGTTGTTGCGAAGCTTAGCTCTCTATATTGGCAACAAACCTACTGTTCTGCTAAGTTTCAAATGTAAACAAATATGGCTGCTATGAAAAACCAAAATTATTAGGCTTAGCCAGCATTTAAAAAACTTTTCAATTGCTGATAATTCTGCCCTTATTGCATGTAGGTTAACTAAAGGAATAAAAACCTTAACCGGAAGATAAGAACAACATAATTCAATGATTTGTAAAGCTAAAAAAATGCGCAATTTACTAACATATAAGAATAAGAAAAACTGAGATCACTGAGCAAAGCTTTAATTTCTTTTTTACAATTGAAATTTTGTTATTCATGATTTAATTCAAGTCCCCGTTAACATTTTAAACAATTTACATTCAAGTTACTTTAAAACAATTTTCGGAATTAAACTTACTAACTATGGATTCACTCTTTTTAGATAATTCTACTAAAATTAATCTTAGGAGATAATATAATCAATATTTCTTTAATAAATAAATTATTATTAACTTACTTTGCAGCTATTGTACGAACGTACGTACGTTCGTACAGACGAAACGAAAAATTCTCTTCAGAATTCATTTTAAAGCAGTTTTATGTCCTTACGTACAGATATCATGCAAAAACATCGTTAAATTGCATTCGATAGTGGTCAAAAAGGATATTTTCGTTGAAATATGCTGCCTGAAACTTTTCGCGATTACAATACTTCCTTTTTACTTCGTACAAGGAAGTAATAACAGAATCATGAAAAGGCTTACTGGTATATAAAAAAGAAAAAAAAAACAAAGTTTTTCTCAGAATTGTTGCTGCATATCAACATGCCATGATTCCTTCTATACCTTGCTCTTCCATTTTCATACGGCACAGTATGGCCTAGAATGTTTGCAGAACAAATTTTAAAAAAAGTGCATCTCATCATTTCTAAACAAAGACAAATGCAGATGGAGAATTCTCTATTTAAGGCGAGCACTGACAGTCACATGCTTTGCCATATGACTTCAGAAATAGCACAAGGGAATTTTATGCTCTGTCAGTTTGAGTTTTGGCACTGCACAGAATGCCAACAAAATGTGTGAAAAATGAATTGTTTCACACTTTGACATCCAGTTTTCGGTATTCTATGCAATACCTCTTTTTCATACAGTGCCAGTAACATAGATACAACAAAAGTTCATAGATTTTCTTTTTCTTTTATTTAAATATTTATTTCTTTTTTAGAATTTATGCTAATTAAATGCCTTTTTTAAATCTTACTTAACATCTTTATTAAAAATTTTATTTTATGTAAATGGAATTTTAAATAAAAATCTAATATTTTGCAATTTACAGTACTTTATTATTAAAAAATGCAAAAACAAATTTATTAGCTTTCAAAATTTTTATACTTTTTTAGTTAAAATTCATTACTGATGTATTTGGCAAGCTAATAAATCATTTATGTTGGACATTTAGAATTATTCAGCTAGATAAAAATAGGCATTTTAAAGATCTCTTTGACTCTTATGTATTTACTTGCAGTACTATAAAACAGAATTCCAAATATCCAGACTAACTTGAATCATAACTTACCCAGATATTAAAAAAAAAATCTGCATAACTGAGCTTTTTTTTTTTATTTTCTTAATACTTATAGCACAGCAAGAAAATACTTTATTTTCTTTTTTAAAAAAGTTATTTTTTGTTTGTTTGTTCCTAACAAAATTACTGTTAATTTTTTTATTATTATTATTTTTACAAAACATGTTTTTTTTGACAGAATGAAACAACAAAGCTATTTTTTCTTTGCCTGCTCCAAAAAGTTCATTAAATGTAATTGATTGCAGTTATGATGAATTAATGTAAAACAATTCATCAAAGACCAAGACATTTTAATATCAAATTTCAATTATTCAATCTATATAAAATCAGACAGGCACATAGAATCTGACAGCTAAAAATTCATATGATTTGTGAGTTTTTTAAAAACCCAAATCACATGACTCCCAAAAAGAAAATTATTAGGGTTACTTTTCACATGCAAGAGCATTTTTTAACAGGGATCTCAATATTACCCAGTCTTCATGTATTGCTAAAGATGTACGATCATTTCCTTGTACTAGCTTTGGTAAAGGTGATTCACTTAACAATCTTCGTCTTGGTATAAATCTGTATAAAAAGTAAATCTGTGTATACTATAAAGTCATCATTTCATAGCATAAGAAACTATTTGAAAAGTTTATCAAAAAATATTTTTAACATCATGACATTTAAAATTATCATAAGTGAATAAGGATGAAAACTGATCTCGCAGATGAAATTTTTTAGACAATTAAATAACCTTTTAAAGATAACAAGCAACTTTTAATGATAAACACAAAAGCTATATAAAAAAGGGTTCTTAAGTATAAGCACAGCAACCTTGATGCATTTGGAAAAAAAAAAAAAAAAAAAAAAACATACATAATTATATGCATTATTTTACATTTCAACTAAGTATTTATCCCAATAATCAATAAATGATCTCACAAAGTTTCGTTCCTTTCATCTGAGTAGAAATTTGATAGTGATCAATTTGAAAACAGATTCAAAGTAATTGTTTCATTTTCTAATTTAGGGGCAAAATACTCTTTTCTTGCTGAAAGTATGTCTATCAGTGGATCAGCGGTAAAACTGCCGAACATCGATAGTATAACTCAGTTCAAATTCTGGTGAATGGGTTGGCTGTATGGGAGTTTTCATATTTTCCCCCCCATTAACCTGGATTTAAGACAACTTCCATCAGAAAGTCCTCCCCAAAGGCTTCCCTAAACCTTAGGCAGGTAGCCATGCTTTACTATAATCTAAATAAACCCGGAAAAGTTTTACTGCAGTTCCTTCAATTTCAGTGAATTTTGCAAATGCTTTAAAATTTAGTTTAACCTAGGAGCACATGCGCTCCTATAAGTTACATGAGCGTGCACACTGGGTCCAAAAGACCCAGTTCATGATTATTAAAAAAAAAAAAAAAAAAAATAGTAAATCTTCAGGAAAGGTATCTTTATGCCAATAATAAATTTTGTGAACAAACTTAAAAAGTACGTACATTAAAATTTTTAACTTTTCCAAACATTTTTATGAAATAAAATTTCTTAAAGGAATAGAAAATTATATTATACATCAGCATAGGAAAAAACAGTATGCCTTTACTTTGTATCGATTCTTTATTAGCGCTACAGACGCAGAGAAAAAAATGTAGCAATAAATGTTAGTACCACATTAAACAAAGTGTTGTTTGTGCATTCCAAATACAGAATCTGAATGAGTATCATGTGCACTAATTCATGGTCACTTCCACCTTCATTTTCTTCAGTAGATTTTTCGCCAGTTGATCCATCTAATAACTTTTGCAACATTTCTTCCTTGTACGGTAAATGATGTGACATGTTTGTCTCTTGCTATACCATTATAAAGCAATTATGTAGTACATTACTCACTTCTCATCTCTTGTGATAATCCCTGTCAAGAAGTGGTTATTTTTGTATGGGAAGGAAACATATATTGTGACTCGTCCCTCTTGATAAATCCCCTGTGAACCCTATTTCAATGGCACAACTCTCTTTCCATTTATGAGTCACTTGTCTACACACACTGCATGCTGCTGCTGTAATGTCCTCCCATCAACATGACATGAATTTAAAAACATTTCACTGTCTAATTAAGATAAAATTAGTTAGCAAGTAGCTAAAAACTGTCTAAATGAAAATTACAATTAAATTTTAATAACAGATTTATTGAACTTTATTTTGAAAGAAAATTTATTCATTAAAAATATTTTAATACCATAAAAATTATGTACTACAAAAATTTCATACAGAAAGATATTTTTGATTTATTTTGCTTTATTTCACTCTACTTTTCTCTAAATACTTATCTGTGATCAATTTATCATAAAAATGCTTAAATACAAAATAATGCAATCATGTGACTGCAAAGAGTACTTGGGCTCAGTCACTGGAGCAGCAAATTAACAAAATGCATAAGCAGCAAAATTTTTTAAAATATAAAACTGGAGAAGTGTATTTTAGCAATTGTATCAGTTTTAAGCAACTGAATTTTAAAACTGTAGCAGTATGGATCAGCAAAAAAAAAAACACTGAAGCAATTTCAGTATATATATTTACTTGAAAATCAAATACAGATATTAAGACTTTTTCCTTTAGCTTTATAGTGAAAGAGCATTAAACATATATCTTAAAGCAACTGCATTTATTTTTCCCAAAAGAAACACTTCACTGTTCTAGAACTTTCCACAAAAGTACTCATACAGATCTTCTCAGCTTAACAGGGCATAATGAGTAGTTACCCCTTCAAACTACTAATAACGTTAAACACAGCACAGTGCAAAACACATCCAAAGAGCGAAGCTCACATGATCTCTTAATACTCTGAAATCCACTCTGAGCTTTTAAAAAAAAAAAAAAAAAAAAAAAAAAAAAAAGAGCTGATGCTCTCTTTGGTTTTATATAGTTTTCCATATTTTGGGTGGATTTTTATCTTTCTTCATAATGCATTTTCAGTTGTTTCTTTTATATATCTGAGATGCTGCTTTTAGCAATTTCCCCAAAATTTAAAATATGAGAAACTTTTAGCAGTTATCATATTGTTTTACATGTCATAGTCCTACTGAAACAAATACATAAAAAATATGGAGTAATAAGCCATTAAACTTTAGACTGTGTTAGGATTGCCAGCTACCACACAGAAATTTTAGAAAAGATTAGAGACATGTTGGCTTCAGAATTCCAATGAATATGAAGTAACTTTAAGATATAAACGACAATGCCAAATGCCTAAAAAAATTGTAAAATAAATTGTTAGAAACAGGCCATCAAACTTTCAAGATGAGAAATAAGAGAAGGAAGTTATAATTAATCACTTGACTAAGTAAGTTACAAGAAATTAGCCGTCAGCTGAGAGCTATCTGCCTATGAAGCAAGAGGTCTTAAAGGAGGACCTTCTAAGGGAAAATGACTCCAGTTCACGCTGCACAAGAATGATTCTGCAGTCAGCGCATTCAAATCTAGATCAAATTAACAGAGTTCAGCAGTGATATCTATTTGATCATTGCTAGGCCGAACTTAAATTATGCTAACAAAATTAATATGCCTATGTTTCATACAAATGCTAAAAATTAGATATTTTCATAAAACTTATTATTTTATCAATCAGTTTATTTCTTTATTTATTAATGAGGAATCAATGATTTATGAGAAAGAAAAGTTCATTACATATTTTCATACTGAATCACGAAGCAAAATATCTTACATTGTTTTGCTACAAGCCTTTAACTATTCAAAACTTTTCTGCAGGAGATATAAGTTTACTTTCCCAAAAGTTACATATCGTACATTTTTAAATATTATAAGCCTATATTATGTATTTCTAAATTCTATAAAATATTATTTATATATATATATATGAAAATGTAGAAAACATTTAACACACACAAATCAATTATTGGTTTGAAGCAATTTTTTTCAGAAATCAGCCTAAACAACTGTTTCTGGGTGCGGCTTTCCGTCTACAGGACATGACTGCCTTGCCGCCCACCTGCACTGCATAGGCATTTCACGTGATCCTATTTGTCCACTTTGTGATTCTGGAGAATAAAAGACCAGGGACCACCTTCGAGGTGGGGCTCTTATTGATCTTACAGAGGAGTCGAAATACTAGGAGGCAAGAGTGCTCCTTAGGCAATGACTTTTTGTTCTTAGTTCTATTGTTTGTAAACTCTGTTTATCAGATTTTAGTTCTTTGTAACGTTTTGCCTAGCCATTGGAAATTAAAAAAAAAAAAAAAAACTATTTTTGGGAAAGTCACACTTTATTGTTCTGCAGACTTACCAATGACTTACATGTCTGCTTTGTGGGTGAGATAAAAGAAACTGGGAATCTTTAGATTTTGAAAAATTTTGGTTATTAACCCTCTGAGCGTTACAGGTTTAGCCCTGAAATTTCGAAGTTCCTCAAAATGACATGAAAAAATGATATTTTCTTGATTACAATTAAAAATTGGCTCTCCTACTTTGTACCTAGATTCTTTTTCTTCCAATATACATCTAACCTAAAATCAGATACTTTAAAAGCTGGCAGAAATTTTCATGTGTAATAAAAGACACTCATCTATACGGAATTTTCCGCCCATAACAGTGAGAGGGTTAAATGCCAACTTTATTTCCCTTCATTGATTCAATGCGCCCCAATTAAAAAGAATTAATTACTGTATAATATCATTTTATCAATAAGAAATTAATGCACAACTGGAATGGAATTTTTGCGAGCATAAAAGAAATTAATAAATAATTAAAAAATACAAACAAAAAAGGAACAAATACTAACCCTTTTCTTTTGGGAGAATAAAATTCTTCAAGGGATTTTTTTTCTTTCATTGGAGTTGTCAAAGATGCAATTTGTGATCTGTCATATGAAAGAATAAGTCTGGGAGAATTAGTACTTGGCGCTCTATTGTACATTGGAGGTTCTGCAATATACTGTGGAGTACTAGAATTTTCCACAGTAGCAGTAACAACAACATTTTCACTACAGGTTGTTACTTCAGATGATGTACAAACAAGACTTTGCTTAATTATGGATATCTGATCTTCTGTGCTTACAATCTTAGTACTGGATTCTAAATTTAACTGGTCTGTTGAAAAGGGTCCAGCAGGCTCAGAACTACTGCCAAGCTCTTCACATGATTCTGTGGCAGAACAAGTGGGACTACTCTCAATAATATTACAAATGCTAGAGCCAGTATTTGTTACACCAGATTGCACCGGCAACCTGTCTGCTATATTTTTTGAATTATTAAGTTTAACAGTATCACTGGCTGATGGTTGTTCACTTTGTAAACTGTGGTTACCTGCATTTAAATCAACTAAAGAATTTGACAAGGGTTCAGTTTGTACAGTTCTATGACAAATTCGAAGATCAGGTTCAGAAACACATGATCCTGAAACTGTAGGAACAGAATCGCCAGGACTACTCTGCAGATTATTTCCATGCAAATGGACATTGACTTTATCTGTTGTATATTTACAATTCTTTGCATCATTTATTTGCACAGCTGAAAGAAAAGCATTTGCTTTAAATATCATCAAATAAAACTATTATACAAAATTAATCATCCTCAAAACTGTTGACTAAATTAAATCAATAGTTTTGAGAAACTAATAATAAATGAAATAAAGATAACATAAAATTACAACACATGTGAAACTAAAATTCAATTAAATTTTTCAAAACAAAAGCAATTCAGCAAGTGTGGTAAACTTCTGTAGGATGGAAAGTTTAATCAAAAAAAATCTGAGCACAGATATTTTGTACTTGGTTCTTGAGATGAAACAAATCTGGCCATTCCTTTTTTACATCATATAAAATTTTATTTCAGTAGTGATTCACTGATTTAAAACTTTTTTTGAGTAATTTATCTTTGAATACAGACAATTTTATGCACTACTGCTAACTGATATTTCATACCAAATTAGTAAGTATACTTTAAGACCTGATAACATGTCCAAAACTTTCAGACCAAATATACACTTGTATATACATACTGCATATGTGTGAGTGTATGTGTGTGCGTGCGCATGTAGGTGTGTAATAATTTAGAAATTTTGTTGATGTGTAAATGAAGAATTTCATAGTACCACTGGATATCATGACAATACTGTTACACATTTTGTACTTAGATAATTTTAGTAGAACTGTAAGTAAAATTGGTGTATTTTTCTGTGTAACATAGCAGAAGACAAATTTTATCAGAAAGCTATGACAGAAAAGAAAGAATACAGGGGCACGTGCATTTAACATTGTATAAATGGGTATCTCAGTAATTTGTATTAGAATTGATTAAATGTAACTGACCACTATGGTAACTGCAACCGTAATTCCATACTCTTATTGCTTTCTAGTAATTTCGAGAAACAGAAAGTACTAGAAATATCTCGTGGCCTAAAACTATAGAAGGGCAGAGAGAGAGCATCCGAGTTCAGTTGTTTAATTAGCTGCTGTTACTACTGTTGCACGTTCAGCATGAAATCGGATTAGCGTTCTCTTTAGATATGTGTTGCATTGTGTTGTGTTTTACATTCTTAGTAGATTGTAGTGTAACTACTGATTATACTGTGTGATACTGTGAACACTTATAAGAATATTTCTGTGGAAAATTTCAGAGTTCTGAAATAGTTCTTTTGATAAAAGTACATTTTTATTAACCTATTATCAGACTTGTGCATTCAATCTATTACAAACCCGTATGCATGCAACAATACTTTTTAAATACAGACTGAATAAGTTGCAGTAGTAACTGAATTTAATTACTCCTTTTTATTTTTCATTAACACACATTTTTAATATTGTTACGAAATGCCCAGCAGAAAGATAGTTTCCACCCACAGCAGGCTTAGGGTTGCCAGAAAATGGCAAGAGAATGCAGGGTTGCCATATTTGGCACGAAATTGTCCACTTGACGACAAAATTGACAATGGATACATTGTCCCCATTCGCGACAAAATTTGCATAGACCAGGGGTCGGCAACCTTTTGAAACGGAAGAGGCAATGTTACAATTTACAAAATTTCCCAGTTTTTAAAGAGCCACTAAAAATTTCGTTTCAATATTATACTTTTGCTTATATATATATGATTTTTGACCTAAACAGCTTTAAATACGGAATAATATAAATATAAATATGTAAGATAAAAAATGTATGAATCAGAAGTATAATATAACTATAAACATTAATTTCTTCCTCTCTATTCTAAAATCGTAATAACTTATCTGCATTGCGTCATTTAAATTAATCGTGCGATCTTACGTAACCGTTAATACCAGATGGCTCTTGACGACCAATCACCGAATTGTAAACCAAAACTTTTCTCTTCGCGTGCTTCCATCCTTCATAACTATGCACTTCAGCTTTTGCTCTCTACTTTGCTAAGATGTAATTTCGCTGGCTTGTTTCTATCTCAGCAATATCTAAAATGTAAATCTTCTGTGGAAAGGCACGACTAGAGTGATAAGTGATCTGTGACCACATATGTAAGTTGGAAATAAAAATGGAATTAAATTCGCCTCGACTGTTAAGTTCTTTAAATACTATGCAATCAAAATTCTTCTTCATTATGGATCTAATCACGCATCGACAATGCTCCGGCTTTTGTCTTTTGTTTATAATATATATAATATATATATATATATATATAGACACAATATAGATAGTACATCAATGGGATATTGGCTTTGCATGCCTTTGGATGATTGATTAAATCTGGCTTATAACTTGTTGTTTTTAATTCAAGCATGACAGATGTTATTTGTTAGTTGACTTCAAAATTTTTATATTCACGCAAGCGACGCTTGTCGCACGAAATGTCCTCAAGATTGTCAGACTCCAGTGCCAACTCTTCCCTCACTGCACATTTTAGAAGATATCCATGAGGAATATGAAAGCCTCAACTCGAGGATTTCGTTCGACTGTCCACTTGTTGCTGCTCGAGGCATGCTTCTCTGGCTCAAACTCTTCCTTCTCTTGAGGTCGTTAACTGACATTACACAAGTCTTTAATTTTTATATAGCGTGCAGTTGAAGCGATCCGCACATTCCAATGTCTCATGTTGATCTCATTTGTATTTGCATTAGAGATTTAGATGAACGCAAGAGTACTTTTTGTTTGTTTTGAATTGCTCGAATCTCTCAGCGAATCCAGCCTTCATATCTTTAAAGCTATGTGAAGTAATCTGTAATAATTGCATTGGTTCCATTGCGATATACTCAGATTTTAAATTTATAGCTCTCCATTTTCAACAAAATAAGTATTTGTTCGACAAATACTTCTTCAAGCAAGCATAGGCGGGTTGCCCTTCCTTGCAGTTTCAGATTCGTTCATTAGTTTCATTGTGACTACCTGAGTAGAGTTTTGCTCGTTTTCTTCTTCAATTCAGGGATGGTCAATGCTTTTTTTCATTGAGGATGCTTTTATTTCACTCAAGCCAAAGTAAAATATGCAAAACATTACTCTGGAAAGCATCACACTTTTGTGGCAGAGCAGATCACAAAACTGGTTATATATCAGGAATCTTAACTAGTGATGGTAGAGTGCTTTTGCAAAATGCTGTTAATAATCTTAATTACCACGTTCATGACTTTGTGCCCAAACATTTCGGCCGGAAATGTTTGGGCACAAAGGGCTTCTTGGTGAATTACACAGTGAAACGTTAGAGGGTTACTTTTCTACAGAATTGAAGTTACAACTCTGTCATACTTCTGGCTCCGTCAGTTGCTATCGAAACGATTTTATTTATATCAATTCCATTGTCTTCCATGCATTTTTGCAAACGCATCTACTATATCTTCTCCACGAGAATTTTCCATGAGAGCGATAGCAATCCTACAGTTCTTCGATTGGACCTTGGGAGGACATATACCCTACGAAAAGGGTAACTTGTGTCGTGTCTTTTATGTTACAAGCCTCATCTATAGCAAGTGATAAGGCAGAAGCCAGCTGAATGTCTTCCACTTGCATATGTGTTACATTTTAAAACATTTTAACAGTTCTATCTTGTACTGTTTTTGCAGATAATGGCAAATATTTGACTTTTTTTATGATTTCTGCTTTGATTTTAATATGACGAAACGGTTATTCAGATGTACGTATAAAACAAACGTATATAAACGTATTTGACGTAAAAGGTTTTACTCTTTTTGCAATTTCTAATGATACTGCAGAGCTTGGCAGATTTACATTATTGGAAGATAGTACTTAGCATGGAATATGACTGCTCTTTTTTTTTGGGGGGGGGGAGCTCTTCAAGAGCTTTTTTCGTGTGTTCTTGGTTGGATATTTACCAGCAAATTGGGTATATTTTGTAGTGAAGTGTCTCCCCAAATTGTGCGAGATTTTGGTGGCAAATGAGGGAACTCGGAAGGCCATCTGTGTTGCATATAAATGCAAACGACTCCGCCCAATCTTGATTGAATTATCAGTTTTCTTCTTCAGTTCTTCTCTTTTTTTACTAGCTGCCATGCTGACAAAATGAACAATAGTTCAAATTAACAGTACAGTAACAATGGTTCAAATTTATCTCATCAATCATGTTAAGCGTAATTAACGATTATGAAAAATAGAAGCTATTGAGAAATTAGGTACTTAAAAATATATTTTCTTATTTTTTAAGGGTTTTGATAATAAATTATTAATTTTTCTGTATGGAACTGAACAGCCGCAACTTTACATCAAAAGAGCCGCACGCAGCTTGCGAGCCGCAGGTTGCTGACCCCTGGCAGAGACAGATGGAGAACATTCTGGAACGAATTCTTACTGGTTTGGCCGAGAATGTTCTCGAAGGCAAGCCAAAAGCTATATGGACCCTGCCCGTATGCGGAGTAGTAGTCTAGTATTGAGTTGATCGTCAAGTGTATCACGAGTTGGTGTGCATTGCTGAGGCTATAGAGTTTATTGTCGAGTTCATCGTGAGTTGTAGAGTGGAGAGTCTCGAGAGTACGTTGTGTTCCGAGAACAACCGAACCGAGTCAGAAGCTGTACTCTAGTGCTTTGCCCTGAAGCTGTCTTCACTGCTATAGCCTGAAGGCTGCGTTGCTAATTGTTTCAGTGTGTTTGTCATAGCTTTTCAATGATCCCAAACATATTTTTGGAGCTGTCCTGAGTAATACTAGCTAATAAATTGTGTTTTCCATCTTCATCAAATGTTGTCATCAATCACTCCAAATCCAGAACTCACAAGAAACGCTAGAATATTTATAATTTGATATATATTTAGCACAGTACGTGCAGAAAATGCATTTTTTCTACAAAAACCACATTGGCAACAATTATAATTTTGAAGAGAGACGAAGCAGCATGTTTGCTATGCCAAGATGCAGAAAGCAAATGTGTAATGTTCAAGCCAAAATCTCATTTAAAAATTATTTAGTTTTAGTTTCAATATCATTTGAATGGATAATTAATAGCACTCTAAGATTATTATTGGAAGGTTTATTTCAGTTTGCAAAACCACGTATGTAACTAGCATTATGTAAAAGTCATAGGATGGAGATTAATTTTGA